CTCCATTCCAGCCCAGCAGCTCCCCCGGAGCCTCCTGCTGGAACCAAAGGGCCCTTCCCCTCCTCGGGATGGTTTTCCTGCTCTTCTCAGCATGCAAAAAGGGAAAAAGCCTGCAGACTCTACACCAAACTCCCTTTCCACACCTGATTTTTTCCCCTACAATCATTATTCTACTTGCTGCAGGTGACAAAATCTCTGGCTAAACAAAAGATGTTGTGAGCAACCAAAAGCCAAATAAGCTCCCAAAATTTAACAGGCACCCTGAATGAAAAGCACAACTCACACAGCACAATCAAGTAAGTCACTGTTACCCAACACACCATTCAGAAAATCCAGAAAACATCAGACAATGTCTCTATTTTCCATTTACAATTAGAGCAACTTTTTCCCTGCCTTTATATTAATGGTGGGAATTTAAACTTTAAACAAATATTTGTATTATATGTCTGATTTGGAAAATGTCATCTTTCTCCTGATCACAAAGTACTCAGAAACAGATGCCACATTTCCCAGGGTTTTTTTTTTTTGTGGCTGGAAGTTATTTCCTTTGGATTGCTCCAGCACCATTTGTGATGACTGTTCATGAGGAGCTCAGTGCAAGTAGCCACTCTTGTAACTGACAGCTTCTGCAAGTGAAACTTTACAAGGGATTTGAGCAGCTGAGGAACCATAATTTAGTAATTTAAAATAATTTACTGGTACCAAAAGTGTCTAACTGCTTAAGTGAAATACAATGAAACCAGAACATTTTTTCCAATTAATAATTTTATTTTGCCAGATTAAAAAGTTAAACTTCTGAAATGTCTTTTGAAACATATTCACTCCTCTACCCTCCAAAACAATGCACAGCAGAGTAAAAAGTTACATTTGATTTAACTGGGGTTTTTAACCTCTTGGGGGATGGAGAAAGCTGATGTCAGAGATTTACCTCAGTTATTCCTTGCTATAGGCTTTTGCCAACAAACACCAAAAATCAGATATTTGCACAGAAACCTCACTATTGGGGTGCACAGTTTTTTTCTCTCTAATGCTAAAGATAGTTTCAAAACCAAACTTGAGACTAAGGAGGACAAAGAGAGCACGGAGCGAAAAAATCATTTCAAAAAACCACTTGCAACCAGGGCTTGGTGCATTTGCTAACCCCAAAGATGCTGAGTGTTGGTTCACACATCTTTCACGGGGTTTTGAGTTACATCCAGCTGTTCCTGGGGTTACACCCTACTCCCAGAGCAGCTGAAATTGCTAACCCCAAAGATGCTGAGTGTTGATTCATCTTTCACGGGGTTTTGAGTTACATCCAGCTGTTCCTGGGGTTACACCCTACTCCCAGAGCAGCTGAAAGCCCCTGCAGCACCCCTGGAGCCTGGTCCCCCCATCCCAGCTGCTCCTGAGGTTACATCCTCCTCCCAGAGTGCTGAAAGCCCCTGCAGCACCCCTGGAGCCTGGTCCCTCCATCCCAGCTGTTCCTGGGGTTACACCCCACTCCCAGAGAGCTGAAGGCCCCTGCAGCAGCCCTGGAGCACCTCTGGAGCCTGGTCCCTCCATCCCACCCCCGGAGCCCGGGCCCATCGCGGCCCATGGTGAGGTTACACCCTGGTTCCCAGAGCAGCTGAAAGCCCCTGCAGGATCCCTGGAGCCTGGTCCCACCATCCCACCCCTGCAGCCCGGTCCCTCCATCCCACCCCCGGAGCCTGGTCCCACCGCAGCCCACGGTGAGGTTACACCCAGCCCGGTCCCTCCATCCCACCCCCGGAGCCCGGTCCCACCATCCCACGGTGAGTGCTGGCAGTGCAGCCCTGCGCGAGCCCGGCTGTGGGAAGGGTCCGTGTCTGTCTGTCTGTCTGTGCCACCAGGACGGCAGCCCGGGCTCTCGGCAGCGCCCAGCTCTGTCCTGCTCAATGCACAGAGCACACAAGGTCACTCCCCAGCCACCCCAGCGTCGGGGGCAGCCTGGCCTCTCCTGGCTCCGGCTCCTGGCCGGCTCCCCGGCAGGGGAGGGATGGGCACTCCGTGCCACGGCCCATTCCTGCTCCCAAACACAATTCTCAGCACCCGGGGCTAAAACCACACAGAGGGGCACAGGAGCTGCTTCCAGCACCTGCACTTAGTGCTTCTTGCAAAGCCCTGCCACGTCAAATGTTGTCCTCATAAACTGAAATGGAGCACTGAATGGCTGTTCCTACATAAAAGCTTTTCTCTTTTGCAAATTTCTCCCTTGGTGGTTAAAAACTTGAAAAAAGAAAAGTAGTAATATAATCACTCAAAGTCTGAGGAAAAAAGAGGCAGCAACAGAGCTGATAAAAAGAAACCCCAACAGCTGAAGTATTACATTAGAAAAAAAAAGTTAAAATGAAATGTTGTAACAGCACCAAAACCTTTCAACCTTTTCACTTCAAAGAAAAATTGAAAAACTAATGAAGTGATTCTAAATTTATATTTTCATGAAATAGCATTTCTAGTGGAAAAGCACTCTGTCAGAAAATGTTGACCCAGCTGTAAGAACTTTATCTACAGACTGCTGAGAAGAAAAATTCTTCTATTTTGTATTGCTCACATTCAGAAATAAGTGACACTTTACATGTTAACTTTTGATTTATTTTTCTATAACATGAAATACAGCGAGTTCCCTATTTAGTTTTGAGTTAAATTATCCTATAAGTTAGTCACTGGTTCAGGACTGAGAAATCTCCTGCAATCATCAAATTGCTCAAGCCCAGCAATGAGGATGGAGCCATTTTTATTTATTCCAGAGGAAATTATTTTTTGATTATATCAACATAGCTGTAACCCTTTACATTCTTGTTACATTCCCATGGCATTTCAGAGTATTAACAGTGTTTTGTGAATTATTTTAAGCTTCTGGATACTTTTGAAAGCAATCTTCAGGAAAATTGCTAGTGAGCAAGATAATAATAGACACCACTCTTCAAAGCAGGAGCCTGAAAAATTTAGGCAAGTACTTCTCTTGAAACATAGAGAAGCAGAAAAATGCATTTAAAAATTTACTACAAATAAATCCTCCTTGGCTTTTAAGCCTTTCAGGATTTAGTCTGATAAAGGCCTACAAAGTTCCTCTGGGCAAAATGCATGGGAATAATACGTCAGATTAGAGGCAGTGGTACTTGCAAGGAACTGAGCAGTAATGAGCAGCACTTGTCAGAAACAAGCTGCCCATCACTTCACCAAAGGGACAGCATTCCTGGGTGGAGCATTCTAGGGCTGGAACACAAGGAAAATTCCCCCTCTGCAGCCTGCTCCTCAGCCTGACGAGCCTCAGGACATGAAGTCCCAGCTGCCTAGCCCACGTTGTGCCCCAGGAGCCTCTCTCCAGGACTTCCCAGATTTTGACTCTTTATCTCTACTCATGAGCTTTGGGACAGGTCTCAGGGTCCTGTGGACCAGTGGAACTGCAAAGACCACGATTTCTCTCCAACCTCTGTGAGGGAGCCCATGCAGCAAGCTGCTTGGTTTTAATAAAAAAACCCCAAATCTGAAATCCCAAATCTGTCACAAACCGGTGCCCTCCTCTGCCAGCCCAGGTGGGGATTTCCTGAAGCCTTGGACAGAACACACACTCTGAGCACCTGCTGCCAGCACCTTGTGGTGCACAGCTCTGCCAAGGATCCTGCTTTTCTGCAGTGAACAGTGCAATAGAGCAGCAACAAATGCCAGTAACGATCACAAACAAAGCTCACAGCCGTGCTCTGCAGCACGTCACGCTCTCCACCAGTCCCCACAAGTCCAGTCCAGCTGGGACACCCTTCCTGGGCTGGAAACCCTGCCTGCCAGGCAGGTTTAGCAGCTGCTCTCTGCTGAGTAGGGCAGGCTGAGGGGGCACAGCTCCATCCCCCAGCCCATGGCAGCAGGGACAAGTGCCCGGATCCAGGACCTGGCACCCTGAGCAAGGCTCGGCTGGAACAGCTCCCCTGGATCGGTCAGCACAGACAGGGGCTGCTGCCACCTCCTCTGCCCCTCGCTCCTCCACCAAACCAAGTCATTCAGAGCAGTAACTCTGGTTTTGAATCTAAAAACTACTTTTAAAGTTTTAGGCGGTTTTTTGTAAGAACTCTGAGCAGTAACTCTGGTTTTGAATCTAAAAACTACTTTTAAAGTTTTAGGCGGTTTTTTGTTTCATTTGCAGGATGACGTTAACAAGTAAGAACTCCGCTACACATTCAACTGAAAGAGCAACAAATGAGAAGCCCTGTGTGAATGACTCAACACTGGGAGGCTGAATAAATCCCTATACCTTAAATCTGACAGGTTAAAGTAGCAGGGAAATCAATTAATACAGCCAGAAGTTCAGCTTTCTTTAAGTGTGTAGCTACATAAAATATTTGTGTTCAACATACAAAATTCAATATAAAAAACGCACTATTTAATATCAGTTCCTGTATTAATTAAAAATACAAGCAGCAGCCTAGATCAGAATTACAAATTGCCAGCTCTCAAAAACCCTGCACTTAACCCAAAGCACCTTTGACAGACATTAATAACCAACCCCTTCCAACACTCAAAATCACAGCAAGCATCAACAAAGTCAAGCTGCAGGCTCCTCTTGTTGGGCTCACATTGTTTGCCACCAATGAACTTCATGAACTTGGAGGTGGCTGGGGACACTTCCCACAAAGCTCTGTCCCCTCCTGGCTGCACAGGTCTGCACTGAAGCCACGGCAGGTGAGGATCAGGCTCACAGACTGCAACCCCTGACTGAAATGCAGAAATCACCCTCTTGAAACAGCCAGAACCAAACTCTTCAGAAATCAAGACAGGTGACCCAATTTCATCCCTTGTGTACGTTCCAAAAAGCAGCCAGGGAAGTATTAACATTCACATAACCAAAATTTTCAGACTGTGGAAGTAAAAAAGCAAGTGCTGTTTGGTATTGAGAAATGAAGATACAATTTCTTGATGACCCTTTAGCCTATTTATACTTATTTGAATCACGTTACCATTTAGCATTTTAATACTTAAAATGAAAATAAAACATGCTTACTAACCTGTGGGAAGAGAGAGTAAGTTGCATTGTCAATTGTGACAGAATATAAAAATTCCCCATCAAACCAGAGGTTCTTTCCCATGGGGGAATTCATCTTTGTCATAGCAAAGAGCTGCCCAGGGTCACAGCATTCTTCCAGCAGCTTCCTAGAGAAGGGAACAAAAGAGTAAGGGCGATTAATTGGAGCCTTGTCACACCTTTGTTAATCATCACCCCTTTGTTAATCATCACCCCTCCCATCGTGTTCCTGCTGCCCTCAGGTTCTCCCAAGCCACACTTCCCAGCCAGCAGATGAACCACAGCACTCTTTTATTTTGCTTGCTTACAGAAGAGCCAGAAAACCTCCTTTTATTTCAGAAAATCTTAGGAAAAAAATCTAAATTTTCATTCAGACTGACACACGAAAAAAAAACAAGATTGAGCAAAAGATACTGCATCCTATACAGCCCATTTTAACGGGTAAAGAACTGGTCTCCAACACATATAGAAATCAGATAAGCTCATTTGAAAACTCGATCCAAGGTACATAAATGTTCAGTACTAACATTATTTTATTTTATTATTATTATTATTTTTTAGGAGCAGGCCTCCTAACGCCCCACAGTTCCATAGCTGGGCACGGCAGCACTGGCACCTCTCTCCAGACACTGCATGTCCTTGTGCTGCATTCCCAGCAGGGTTAGAGCCTCCCAGCTGGAGGGCAGCCTGAGTCACCCAGTGGGATGGATATATATAGAGAGAGTGCCTGTACTCGTTAGTGTCCCTGCTGAAACTCCATATCCTCTCACTCCCTCGTGGCCCAAAAATACTCCTCAGCCTGAGTAGAAATTGGAGAGTTGGTGAGGTGGTTGAAGGTTATCCTGAAAATTTTGTACCACAGCACACTCAGCAATTAATATCCTAATCCACAGACTGATGGAAAGCTCTAAAGGTCCAGAATATCCTGTATTTCCAAAGCCTACGTGGCCCTAGGAAGGGTGACACCCACAGATCTATTTACAACACACATTGCAGAATTCCACCACTACAGTGCACTATTATGTGATCATACACATTCCCCATATATTCAAAAGGTAATCCCAAAGGGACTGGAACCATTTCCAGTGGCTGCACAGGAGCTGCAAGCAGAAAAACCTCAATTATTAGTGACGACTAAAACGCTTGGTATACCTGTTCTCTGCAAAAGAGGAGATTTTATTCAAAACCATAAAGTCACCCACAAAAATTGAAATTTAAGCATTTTTTAAAGCTTTAAAGCTACTTTTCATCTCTAAAAATTGGTATTTGAAAAGCCAAAATTTTCCCTGTCAAAAATTGATTTCACTATAAGTTCGTAATTCTCTGCAAATGCGTGAGTATTCTTTTTCAGACACACTTGAACTGCAGTAACAAGGAGCCCCCAGCAGCAGCTTCCCTCAGACAGCGGCAGCGTCCCCAAGGCTGGCGATCCTCCAGGCACAGGAGGACGAGCTGCCGCAGGTCCCCAGCCAGGTGTGGCTCCCCCGGAAGGCTGGCACAGGTGTTCCAAACACAAGATATTTTTCTGGCTTTCTGCAAACCAGTTTGCAGATTTTTGGAAAATTATTTCCCTCTCAAGTGGAAAGAAAATAATTCTGCATATTTTTCTATCCCCACAGCAACTCTTGCAAAAAAATGTAAGTTGGTCCAGGATCAGCTGGAGCCATTTGTTACAAAACTGTATAGCACAATTAAAATTTTCCAGTGAAATTCTGCAACTCACACCTCCTCTGGAAGTCTGGTCTGAGAAAAAAGCACAAAGAAACCCCCAAATAACTTAGTGGAAAATTATCCAGGGAATGTTTTATATTCATGATTTTTCTCTTAGCCAGAGCAGACTGAAGAGCTAAGCAGCAGCTCTTTGTACAAGTCCCACCCTATTTATTAGGTGAGATATACATCCCTACTCCTTCCCATCCCCTAAAACACTCCTTCCAATTCCCATTGAATGCTTCATTAATAAACCTACTCTGAAAAGCAGCAGGGGTCTCCTGGAAGGGCCACAAATAAGCATGTTTGTGGCCCTTCCAGGGGCCAAAAATATTCTTGAAATCGTTCAAGAATAAAGCTGTGTGTATGAACACAAAAATCTTGTGCACTCATGTGTGCTCTCCATCAGAAAAGAATAATTTATTAAAAGTCTCTTTCTGATCCAAATCCCAAAGTCACAAAGCAAGAAAAGCTTCACTGAAAAGCAGAATGGATTCAAACACAAAACTATAGCAGGCTACTTTGCAGGATCAGGGAGACTGAGCTGTTTGCTGAGCTTGATTAAGATGCACAGCATAAATGTTGTTACAGAATGTGCAGAACTGCAGCAGCTTTCAGTCAGCAATCCCAGCTCACTGCAAGCATTCCTCCACTCACAGGACATAAACAATGTGTTTTTGATTCAAAGTTCTCTCCAATTCAGAGAAGACCTGTAGGTGAGAGGACTTAACATTGGGATTGAAAAGGCACTGGGGGCCCTCAGACCCAGGAGCACTCAGGGGACAAATCCCTGCTTGTGAGAGAAGCAGGAGAAACATTCCTTGGGGAAATTTCACTTCAAGCCCCTCAGATTTCAGATGCAATTGGGCACCAGGCAGGTCATTAAGCAAAAGGCAGCCTCAGCACTGAGGTCTTAACCTGAATTCATTCACAAAACTTTCATAAAACTCCCAAACTACTTATTCTCCACCTTAAGCTAACAAACTTTGCAGTCTGATGTCAGCTTGCAGACAGTTAATGCTCAATGGCACCCCGGTGTGACTCATGTCCCAGTCAATAATGACACAGGAGCTATTTTAACATCCCAAATGCAGCAAATATAGTATCTAAAATTAAAAATGGACAACTCCACGGCATGGGCTGTCAGCCAGGAGGTCACAGCTCTTTAGCTGTCTCTTCTCTGTCTCCCCAGCATGGCACCATTTCTCCAGCTGCCTTGGATGCTGTCCTGCTGAGCCTGTAAGCACCCCCAGCACTGTGCAAGGCAGGGGGAGCAGAGCTCTTCCTCCCAGCTTTTCCCTTTGCAGTCCATGCAAGTGAGATGTACTGCATTCATGTGAGAGAGACCAGACTGGTGGGGAGCAGCAAGAGGAAGGCACCTTCACAAAGATTCCACAGGGAAGTGGTGCAGTCACCACGCCTGGAGGTGTTCAGAAAACAAGGATGGTCCAGAGCACATGGATGGGGAAAGGGCAGAAGAGACTTCAGCTTGATGCTGCTCCTGCAGGTCCCAGCAAGTGCCAGCAGTGCCCTCACTGAACACGGGCATTGATTCAACCATTGCACAAAAATGTCAACACGAGACTTAATATTTCATTACATTATGGCTTTAATGGAGCATTAAAATAATGACTGAGGCTCACATCCAAGCCTAAGATAAAAATAATTTGTGAACTGCTTTAGTCAGACTCTGCTCAGCTGCCTGGGTTCAGGTGGCATCATGCTAACCTTGATCTGGTGACTGCAAAGCAGAGCAGGATGTGACAGCACAGCCTGACACAAACCTTCCCTTTACATGCAGCTCCCCTCCACCTCAACTTCCCTTGGTTTGCTTTGGGATCAAATAAAAGCCCAGGGGAAAAAAAAGTATCTGTCTTTGGAGTTTTGGCTGGTGTCAAGACGACCATCAGGCCTTCACTCACAAGGAGGGTTTTGTGGAGCTGCTGGAATCCAGAGCACAGGATTCACTTGGGTTCACTGGGGAAGAGTTGCACAGATCCATTTCACTGCCATTTATTATTGCTTCCATCCACACACCCCCCAGCAGAGGCAGAAAGCCCTACCAAGGGCCTCATGCAGTCCTGTTTGCCAGCATGTGCATCCCCTGCTGGAAATACTTTGGGGATTAAAGCCAGCAGTGGCTCTGAAACACATCAGGCTTGACCACTTCTAACAGTCTCAAAATCTAATCCTGGAATTCTACCCATTATGTCTTGGGTGCAATGTTTCAACAAGGATAACACTTCCCCATGTTTTTGCAACAAGTTTTGGTGGCAGGGGAGAAACCAAAAATCACTGCTTAATAATGTCTTGGTGTATTGTCTTTAGAAACCCTGATCAGAGTGTGATTTTTTGGCACTTCGGGTGCTGATTTTAAAGGAGGGAGGAAAAATAATTTAAAGGATGCTGCTCAAATTTCAGCCTCCCCTCTGATGAGCAAAAAGGTTGGAGTTTCCTGAATTTCATGCTATGAACAAAGATCTTTACTCTTTCCATAATTCCTGTGGCTAGTCTCTCTTTTTTAAGACCCACCCCTAAATCTCTCATTCTAAATAAAGCCTGGAAATATTATTTCTAGGGTAGCTACCCCCTGCTAACTGCAGGCACAAACTAACCTCTCATTACTCACATATCCCACACCATCCAAGAACAGACCAAATTCTGGGCTCATGTCCCATCTCCCAGAGCAGGCAGCAGCCAATGCCTGCAGCTGGAAGAGCCCTCTCAAACACCACATAATGACCATTTTTCTGGGCATTTTGTTGCTCCAAGCTGGCAGTCTGGGAATTTTATGGCCCTACAGAATTCTACAAAGCCATTCAGTAACAGCAAAATCACTGGTTCTACTGCAGTCAGTGAGCTTGGAGCTGCAGCTGACGTTTGGCTCCTGAATACTCCGTGAAAACATTGCTGGGTTTGGTCACACACACTGAATTTCTCTTTCCTAGAATTCTCTTTTCCTAAAAAGCTCAGTCTAATCATTGCAACTGGGGATTAGCTTGAAGAATTCACTGAGACTCTGAGGTTCTCATGGTGCTTAAAGCACCTTACTGCTCCAGGCATACCACCCTACTCAAGAGTAAATTGAAAATTATCCTCAGCACAACTGTCAGGGAATGTGATCTTAAAACCTCCCTCCTAAGAAAGAGCAGCTGGACAAGTACCAAATGAATAAGAGAATGGCCAGTGCAAATGCTCTGGATATCCACAAAAGCATACCAAATTGGGATTTTGGGACAACAAGCACAGATAAAGCTCAAGCTAAAACTAAGAGCTTTGCCAAATACAGCATCTAAATCAAAACACATTGCTGTGCATAGGTTCACTTCTGAAAACACCCAGTTCCAAAGCTTGAACAATAGGTCTAAATGCAATGAAAAAGAAATATGAAAAGGGTGGACAGCACAGAGCAGAACAG